ATACAATAGGACGTATGTAGCTCATAGGCAGCTACTTTTAGCTGTTTTCAACCTGCGATTTAGCTACTCCTTTTTGAGGCAACAGTTGCCAACACTGGCATTCATAGATAATGCACATTGAAGTGCTTTGTTCGTCTAGCATCAAATGACGTCGTCGTTATTGTTGTTGCAGTCGCAGTTGTTGTTGTTGTTGTCGTTGTTGTTGTTGTTGTTGCTGTCATCTTTGTCATTGTCAGTGTCATTATCGTCTGCAACTGATTAGTCAGCAGGTTTTTCAGGCGTTCGCATTGGGGCATTTATCGTGTGCTCCAGACATTTGAATGAAACAATAGACAGTGCCCAAAGGGATAGAGTTATGGTTAAATATAGATAGATTAAAAGTGAGAGAGAGGGAGGTTGAGAGAGAGAGGGAGACAGCAAAGTCTGTTGATGATAGTTTAAATCGGCAGGTTCTTGGAATAGATATACACTTGTTTTGTTTTAACTTGTTGTTTATTAGTTATTCAAATATATACAGTCTTCAAGGTATATACAGTCTTGATCACAACGACAGGCTCAGTTGATTTAGTCATGATTGTCCCTCCGTCCATTCGAAAGTCTGTTTGATCGCGTTGACTTCAAGTTTCAGAAGAAGTAGACATCTTCGACCCCATAAAGTATATATATTAAAGACTAGCGGGTATAACCCGGCCTTGCCCGTGGCACGTATGTTATAAAATAAAAAAAGCTTTGAAAATGATTTTGAAACTGATCGGACGGGAATCAAACAACTTTTATGCAAATCGGAAAACTCTTAAAATTCACCAAAAAAATCTTAAAAATGCATTTCCCACCGAAGGAGTTTAGATTTTGCGAGAAATGTGAAACACGTCTCAAATGATTTTTCTTATAGATCTCTGGAAATGAATTTGAGCGCGAAACGTCACCCACCAAATCTTTGACCTCCATTTCCACCAAGGAGGAATGGGTTTTCCGAAAAGTGCGAAACACCCCTCAAATGAATTTGAACAAAGATCTTTGAAAATAAGTTTGGGGCCGATCGGATGGTAAACAAAAAAGTTACATACAAACGTTTTTCGCGATTTTTACACACTTGCGAGTGGAAACTCCGTCTTAACGTGCACCTACATCACATAAGGTAACTACAGTGAAAATTTCAGCTTCCTAGCTCTTACGGTTTGGGCTGTGCGTTGATCACCAATCAGTCAGTCAGTCAGTCAGGACAAACAGTTTTATATATAGAGATTAGCATCGACAGCCGACTTGATATAACGTGTCTGTCTGTCTATTTTATTATTCTACAATTGTCTCAGTTTTAAAGCTATTGACTTGAAACTTTGCATAGGGCCGTCTTTCCGTTGGATCCGGCCGGATCGGACCACTATATCATATAGCTGCCATATTAACGCTTGGTAGAAAAGTAGTTTCTTGTATAGATAACTTTTTAGTTCATCAAGTTATTTTCAGCAAACTCATTTATCATTTATCAGTTATGCTCCGCTCTTATCAACATCGGACCACTATATCATATAGCTGCCATGGGAATGATCGGTCGAAAAGTAGCTCTTTTTATAGCAAATAAAATTAGCATTTACGCAGCATCTCACATATCTGCAAAACCTTTCACTTCTTTTTTTACCAATATTTTAAAATTTTAAAAGCTATATACACCAAAATTGGTCTGTAGGTTCTCGTCATATTTTCTTTGTTACCTTGCTCATAGGCATAGGCCTTCATCCTAGCCGACTACTTCCGACTAGTGCTATATTTCTCCTTATAGAGTATATGATATAGGATGTATTCATATAGCTTACACCCAAATAATGACTTTTATCTAGAGAAATTGTTCAGCTCCCTTAAAAAAAATTTTGTTTAAGGCTGAATTAATATTAACTATTCATACGCTATTTAGCTGGTGTATTAAAAAATACGTCAAACGCATTTAAGGCATGGAAATCAAAAACTAGATAACATCAAGTATTATGGATCTTTGATTGACATTCTCTTATAAAAGTATCTCTTTACTAAGATGGCAATTATGATGATCTATTAAATTATTCAATTAAATTATTATTTCTATTAATTTATTATCTATTAATTAATGTAGTATAGTGAATAATTTTTATCGAATCAGAAATTAAAGAGAGTCTAGATATTTTGTACCCAGATCTTAGTTCTATAATAAAGATCTATCTTTATAAAGATTATAAGTTCTTGGGATTCGCGGCTAGAATATTCGTTGTGAATTCTGGTTAATTTAAGATTAAAGTGAACAGCTGAGATGTGATTGGTTGATATAAAGCTTAAAATGTGGTAAATCTAAGTATAGCTGTGATACCTGACTTGGCCAATCTTAAATTTATCTATTTGAGCAACAAGTGGAAAAGCTTTCAAGGAAAATCGATTTAAAATTTAAAAATATTCAGCAAAGGGTGTGGAAAATAACTCGTTAATGAATAACGAGCATAAAATGAGAGCGCACGTTGCGTTGTGCCTTAGGTAATGGACAAAGGGTTTGCGCGTAGTGTGGGATTGGGGGGGGTTTGGGTTGGTTGATGGCTCTGGTTTGCGGCTTGCGCGGTGTTGGGCACTGGGCGATGGTCGATGATGGGCGGACTGCAAGCGGAATCACAACAGAGCCAAAGGCAGACAACAAAAGCCTGGACAAGGACACCCTCACCACACACACACACACACACACACACACACACACACACACACACACACACACACACACACACACACAGATACCTGGAGAGAACGCTGCGAAAATGGTGTGTAAAATATCTGCGTTAGCCAAAGGCGAAACGCGATTGCAAAATGAGTTTAAGAAGCAGGGCGAGGTTGAGGACGTAGACGTGGGCGAGGCCGAGGACAAACCAGCCAGCTGGAAAAACCAGAGAGCCAAGCAAGTAAATAAATAAGCAGTCATAAAAACAACGTACACACACACACACGCACGCACACAGCTAAAGGCATAGACACATGTGCTGCGCTGGGGTATTTCCATGGCGCACATGATTTCCATTCGGAGAAGCAGGACGAGGATGCGAATGCGATTGCAGGAAGTTCCGGAGCTGGCGAAACGGTTATAAATGCTTGGCAAATAGAGAAACAAACAAACAAATAAACAAACAAACAAACAAACAAACCAACAAGCAGACAAACACTCATACACACGCACACACAGACACTGGCACAACAAATCGCATGCGGTTGGCAAGCGCTGAGCTGCACAGTTGGAAAGCAACTGGACTCTGACCAATGACCACATTGAGGAATTTGAACATTTTTTGACACTTTTCAATTAATAGTCGACTATTTGGGGTCCTACCAGTCCTGTCTTAAAGTAAAATAACTATTATTGTAACCACAGAAGAAAGCAACAATTATGCAGATACATTTTAGATATTTGGTAGATAAACAGAGAGCAGCATATTCTCGCTATGAAATACACATATGGTTTTTTGCAAACGTGACGTTATTAGCCTGTTTGGCTTAGTTGCCTGAACTAGCAAACAAGAAGTCGCCGGTTCAATTTTTGTTATTTGATATCAGGCACAAAAAGCAATAACAATTATCTGGACATAACAGTATTAGCTGCAATGCCATTTGAAATGGATTGGTAACTAATAGATTATGTTTGGGACGTGAGCATGATGAATGTCTAGACGCGTGGTAGCCATTAGCCTGGATCTGTTTTGCCAGATGTTGGCGCGAATCACACAAACGATACCATTTGCAATGCTAGTCAGTCTATATATCTACATCCATTAAACGGCTTTGCTTGTGTTCTATTATTATTATGTCAAATGGAAAAATTGATTGAAAGCAAAGCGCACGCAAACGAGGTCGCCTCTGGAAGTGCTTGTTTTAAAATAGAATTTAATATATTTTCTAGCAAACAATCATAGTTGATGTCTTAGGCGTAAGACATTTGAAATTATGGTATTATACAAGTTCGTTTTTCTAGCACGGTCCGAGCTATGCTATATTATGCACTGGCCATACACCATGACGCCTGCTGCGTAGGCAACACATTTGTGTTGCTTAGCTCAGGCAAAGTGGCTGCTCAACTGTGCTGAGGGCGATTCTTTAAATACAAATGTATATACCGCATATATTTATGGAAAACTCCAGGGCTACGCACATCAGGAGCGTATGCACAAAATAAAAGAAAAATCACAATTGCGGAATCATGGCTGGTCTGAGCTGTTTTTTAATATTGCAAACAGAGTATTGCGCAGTTGGTTGCAACAAGTAGAAAACGTGTTTTTTTTACCCTGTACACATTGAAAATAGGTAAAAGGAGTATAAAGCATTTGTGCAAATGTATGCAGCAGGCAGAAGGAAGCATCTCCAACCCCATAAAATATATATATTCTTGGTCAGCATCAATAGGCGAGTCGATATAGCCATGTCCGTTCGTCCGTCTGTCCGTCCGTCCGTCCGTCAGTCCGTATGTATGAACGCAGGGATCTCAGAACATATAAGAGCTAGAGATTTGATGTTGAAATTGAACGTTGGTCCTCTAAGTGCCCGCGCAGTACGAGCTTATTTCCGATAATCGATAGCTTGCCCCGTTTCCAAGCAATCGATAAAAGTCGATGTCGAAATCATGTTTTGTAAGCAAATCTCTTATGTTTGAAGAGGTAGAGCTGGAGTATATATATATCAAGCCATCAATATATATTTTTAATTAAGTGATATACCTCTGTTGCATAAAACTCTTTTGTTTTTCATGCACTTCAATTTTAAGGATCTATTTGAATGAAATGTAAAATAAATCATGTTTTGGATAGTTTGGATAGTTAAGTTTTTGTCCGTATAGCTGAAAGCTTTCAAAGCTCCACAAAAAAATTTAAATCAATTCATGCTGCTATTAATATTTTCCAACATATTTCCGCCGAGTGCTTTACGAGTCATGAGTGTGAACTAGTTGTAAGGATCGTTGGAACCAGTTCGAAAGAATTTTGGGTGAGTTTCTTTTTGGGGCTTACCTCGATTCTTGTCGCAGCAATTGATCACCAAGTAAAAGTTCAGTTCTTCCTTTTGATATGCTACTTGTGGGACTGTGTTGCTGTTGCAGCTGTTGTTGTTGTTGTTGTTGTTGCTGTTGTTGCTGCTGCAGGTCAAGGGCGCCAGCGGTGCTGAGCAACTGTTGCTGGCTGCCGATGATGTTGCTGCTGCTGGTTCCAGCTATTGGTTGTGCTGGTGCAGTTGTGTTATATGGCAGGCCAAGGCAATCGCCGGACTGATGCACAATGACGTCATCGTTAAGCGTAGTTAGTAACTAAGAGGGAGACAAAGAAAGCGAGAGAGAGAGAGAAAGAGAGAGAGAGAGAGAGAGTCAGACAATATTGGTTGCTAACCTACGTGTATAATAAAATATAAGTCAAGAAGAAATGCTGTCAAAATCAGGCAAACCAAATGGAACGAAACGAAATGAAACGAAACGAAACGATACGAAAGAAACACATGCCACACAATGTTGCTTGTCGCCTGTTGCCCGTTGCTGGCAACGACAACAACGAGAACAACAGTTGTTGCCCGCTCACCTCTCGTCTCGGTGGATACAAATTATTCGATATTAGTAGATCACAATTTTTCATAACGGACGTCCCAATGTTGCTGATGATGATGTTGCTGCTGCTGCTGCTGCTGTTGATGTTGCCTGATGTGATGCAATTATTGCTATTATTGTTGTTGCTTAAAATTAAATGCTGCTGCTGCTGCAAGTGGCCAGTGATGTTGCTGCTGTGGCCATGTTGCTGCAGATCGGCAAACGCCTGTTGCAGCTGTCCGCTGGATATGGCCGTCGAATACTCTGTTTTTGGCGTTGTCGTCCCATGCGCATGTCCGTGTCCATGCATTGGCAATGCAATATCTGCCGCTGTCACAATCGTTGTTGCCCCGCCGCCTCGCGCTGCTGCTGCTGTTGCTGCCAGCGGCGATGTTGAAGTTTGCGCATCCACAAAGTGGGCACCGCCAGCACCAGCAGCAACAGCAACAGCAGCAGCACCAGCAACAGCATCGCTGCCCAGCTGCAGCGGCAACGGTCTGGACTGTAACTGCGTCAGCGATTGTCGCTGTTGATGGATCGCCGCAGTTGTTGCCAGCGTGGCGGCTGCAGCGGGCAACGTTGTTGTTGCTGGCAGCGTTGTTGTCGGCAGCTGAGCGTGCTTGTTGTTGTAGCTGATGTAGGTGATGCCGCAGTAGTTGGCACCATCGACATCATCGTCATCGTCCATGTCGTCATCGTCCACCTCCTCGGCCAGATGCTGCAGACTGGTGGCGAGTAGGGATTTCGCCTGCAGCGGCTTCCCAGCGGCAGCAGCCGCCGCCAATTGTTGCTGCAGCTGCTGCAACTGTTGCTGCTGTGCCTGGCTGGTCTGATAGATGTGCCCCGTGGCGCTGCTGGTCTTGCTGCCGCTACCGCTCGCTGCTGCCGGCTGCTTGAGCGCTGCCGCCGCTGCTGCTGCTGTCGCGCTGACAATTGCCGCCGTCGTTGAGTTGTTCGCACTGCGCTCCGCACTGGCAGCTGCTGCTGCTGCTGTGGCTGCTGCAACCGCAGCGCTCACCAGAGCCGACGACGGCGCTGCAGTTGGCGTCGACATTGTCGCCGTCGCTGTGGTGGGCACCAGCGAGGGGGCGCTAATGGGCCCGCCGGCGGTGGCCGTTGTCATTGTGGCGCTGCTGCAGGTGATTTGATTGCTGCTAAATGACGTTACATAGATGGGCGTCGAGTCGTTGAGGAAGCTCAAGTCCTGTTTTTGGCTGGTGACGGTGCCGCTTTTCGTTTGCTGCAGCTACGTGTGGCAAGTGAAGCGACGACAGCAATCGGAATGAGGAAGCGATGAATGGGAGGAAATTGGGAGATTGAGAAAAGAAAATGCAATGAATGAATGACCAAAACAGTGAGTAAAATGAGAGAGAGACAGAGAGAGAGAGAGAGAGTGCAAAATAGACAAAGTAAGAGAGAGAGAGAGAGAGAGTAAGATCAATTGTTGAAAATACGTATCGTTAATCGTTTAATCGTTTTGTAGAGATTTGCATTGTGATTATCGATTGAAGCAGTATAAAAATTGATAAATAAATTTAATTGAGGATCATTATAGATGAAGATATTTTTTGTAAACTGTTTTCAATAGCATCGATTATTAAGCGGACCGATAAATATCGATAACAAATATAAAAGCTTTCTTTATCGGTAGCTTTGATATTTATGAATGTCGACAAATGTCACTATCTACAATCAAATGTTAATAGCATTGTTTAATCAAAATGTCAAAAGTTCTATTTGGTTCTGTTTATATTCAAAATAAAAAAATGGTATAAAGCTTGACAAATAATTAATGGAATATCCAAACCAATAAAAAAAGTAAATAAGTAGCTGTAATAAATAAACAAAATATCACTTATAAAATAGGGCAAAAGGATTTCTTGTGTTCTCCAAATAAGTGAAACAAGCAAAAAATGGAATCTTCGACCGATGTATATATATGCTTGATCAAGTTAAGGAGCTTAGTCGGTATATCATTGTTGAACTTGGAGATCATATTAACTATATGCTTTAAATATGGTATATTAAAAGCAAATGCAGATTATTTTCCGATTTCCCCGTTCTCAAAATACAGTTCGGTTGGCTTGCACATATTTCAGGACCTATAAGACCTACAGATACTAGATTCTCCCACACTTTTTTTTAATTCTACTGGCAGAAACTGCTTCCAAATCAATTTCCCATATTATGAGGCTGAGAGACGAAGCAGCCGCTACCCAAATGTATGCACTTGTGTATAAGAAAGTACGAAGTCGATTAGTCGACTTGCCACTCTTACATATTTTCAAGTGACAATGCTATAGATGCTGCGATGGGGTCTTAACTATTTATAGGCCTTAAATATGCTGAAAGGCTCCAGTCGCATATGCAAATCAATCAAATTTCATTAAAATGAAGCCAGTCAAAATAATCCAAGCGCAAAAATGCCTGGGCCCGACAGCTGGGTTTGTGCACGCCAGCGCCAGCCCGACATGATTTAAAAAAAAACGTATACAGTAAACGTCTGCTATAAAGATTGAAATTTGAAGAAATTAGAGTGAAAGGAAGATTTGATGCTCATAATATAATAAACTTGTTGGATGATTGGGTTAATCTAGACACAGACAGAATTCTTTTAAAATTTGATGGGCTTGTGTATATTTTCGAATCACTTGTATAAGCTTATCCTGTAATATCATCTAGAAGTAAAGGAAGAAGCTTTGTTCTTTTTTTTGTTTGGAGCATATAACACTGAGTTTCTTTATACTTTAGACTTTATTTATACTTTATACTTTTTTCACTTTCAAAAAAAGCCAATGTTATGGAACAGAATGGCATGGAATAAACAGTGGGCTTTCAAAAAAGTCGGTTATCTTTACATTTTCATACATAAAGTCTAACAGTCTAAGGGAGTGTTGGGGCACGGAACAAAATGTATCTAGCTTAAGCAATTTTAAGATTTTGTGTGCTCTTCAATGTTTGTCAGTGTCAAATGTTGGCGAGTGTTTACTGTAGCATTTAGACGCCTTTGTTGGCCATGCGTAGGTGCGCCAGCTTCTCTGTCTGGCTACGTGGGCTGCTAACAAAAGGCGGGCTCAGTCGCTGACTTTGCCGCAGCGGCCGCACCCCGACGCGTTGCAAGCACAACTGAGCAATTAGCCCGCGCAAACACAGTTGCCGTCAAACTGTATGCTAGTGACAAATTCCCAAAGCTGGCAATCAACCAAATCTCTGACTCAAACGTGTTGTTGTTTTCAATTGCCCAAATAGCATTAGAGCAGCGCTCAATGGCGCTCAGCTCGCTAATCTGATGAACGTCGGCATCGGTATCGGTATCGGAATCGCTTCCATTCTCATCTCCCCGCAGCAGCTCCCAGCAACAGGTGGCAGCAACAGCTGCCAAGTTGGAAGTTGCCCAGCCACGCGGATGCAATTACCAGTACATATATGTAAGCCCCCCAAATACATATATATATATATATATATATATATATGTCATATGTTTATATATAAATGTGTGTATATAGTTATATATATATATATTTATATATATGTCTATGTGCCCGTTGCCATCAACAAAATGCTTCACGCTTCGTGCACATTCCACTTGTGCGTTCAATTGCTGCGACTCTCAGACCAATCCATTCATGTGCCCAACCCACAATATTCAACCCACATCAGTTAACATCGAATCCCCTACCAGCTCCCATCCTGGTGCCCCACCCCACACGACTACTCGTTGTCATCAACGTCGCCGTTTCATTCATTCATTCAGCTTTTCTTTTTTTCTCCTCTCATCCACATTTTATCGGATTATTGACAGTGCAGACGAGCCGGTGGCTCCGCATGCGTCGGGCTCTTCTATCAACCGGTGCGTGTGTGGAGTGGCTGGCTCATCATTTGGAATCAGACCAGGATTCAGCACCCATTACCCGGCACACAGCATCCAGGACCAAGTACTCAGGCTCTTGTTCTGTCGATCTGCTCAAAGAGGCTGCACTTAAACACTTATCGCACTTAAAGTCATTGGTTTGGTTAGGTTCGGTCGGGTTGGGTTGGGTTGGGGTGGGATGGGTTCGGTTCAGTTGGCCTGGCAATAGCCTATTGACTAGACTTCATTTTGATAGCTTTGGCTACAGTAATATTTCGCAAAAACCGCCGAGCATCCAGCCCACATCACCGAGAACCCGAACGCCACTCCAGAAATGGAAGGCAATGTCCCTTGAGGCAAAACACAACACAGGTTTCTCAAACGAAATAGGAGAGGGACAAAGGGGGTGCGAAAATAATAAAAATAAGGGAGCAGGAGCATCTACTTTTAGTGATTGATGGATGACTCAACTATTTCGAATGGCTGGAGGTTATCTGCCGAATGCTTAATTCGATATATAAATCAATTATTATTCCAACAGTTATGAATTCCTCGTACGAGTGTTTTTTTTATAAAAACAATTATAAGTGTTGTACAAGTTGTACTTGTCAAACCAATAACTGTGTTGCAAAAGTTGTTATTACAATTATAAGTGTTGTGAAAGTTGTCGTTTGTAAAGCTATTAAGTGTTGCAAGAGTTATTATTTACAAATCAGTGAAGTTTTGAAGTGTTGAATTAGTTTTTATTTGTAAAACGAAAGAAAGTGTTGTAGAAGATGTCATTTATTAAAAATTTAAGAGTGTTGAATAAGTTGATTTATATATAAAATAACTAAATGTTTTAAAAATTGTCATTTACAATAACACAGCCAAAATTGTTGTAGAAGATGTCGACTATAAAGCAATTAAGTGTTGTAAAAGTTTTATTTTTTAAAGCAGTGAAGCTTTTTAAAAATTGTCAATTATAAATCAAATTAAGTGTTGTTTGATATTTACAAAAACAATTAGGTGTTGTATAAGTTGTTATTTGACAAACAACAAAAAGTTTTGTAAAGGATGTCATTTTTAAGACATTGTAGAGTGTTGGATAAGTTGTTATTTATTAAATATTTTCCTGTGCTAAAAATTGTCAATTATGTAACAAATTAAAATTAAAATAAGACAACTAAAATTGTAGTAGAAGATGTCCTCTTTTAAGCAATGAAAGGTATTGCAAGTTGTCATTAATAAACAATAATAAGTGTGGTAAAAGTTGTTGTTTAGAAAAACAATTAGGTGTTGTACAAGTTGTCATTAAACCAACATTAAACAGTGTTGTAAAAGTTGTCATTTATAAAAAATTTGAGTGTTGAAAGATTGGGTGCTGTAAAAGCTGTTATTTAACGAAATTTAAAATGTTATACAAAGGTTGTCATTGGTAAAACATTTAATAGTGTTGAACAAGTTGTTATTTATAAAAATCATCATGGTCTTAAATTTATAACAGAAATAAAAGTGTTGCATAAGTAGCTATTTAATTTTACATTATTTTCATCATATCCAAAATTGATCTGTTTGAATATATTTATTGAGCCTTAAAGGCGATTCAATTTTCATAAGGATAAGTAACTAAATAAATATATAATCACTTATGAAATACTCTTAAGTTTTTCAAAGTTACGCAATGAGTCATCTATTCCTTTAATCTATTGTGTATCCTAAATATGAATATATATGCATTTGTTATTAGACGAAAAAGGCATTTGAATGGAAACTTGCAATTTAAAAACAAATCGTAGCATTGCAGTCAGTTGTGACCGACTGCGCCATACTCTGTATGCAGTGTAATTACCGATTAAATCAATCAAAAAGAGTCTTTCCAATTATTGCCTGGCCAACTCTAAGACTCTAGCCGCAAGGCAGTGACTCTCAAGCTGTGACTAGAAAATACCGATTTGCATAACTTGCTGGGAGACACATAAAGAGTTTCGCGGTTCCCTCGGCCCCTGGTGGGCGTGTCCATACACTTTTTAACACCTTTTGAAGCGCGGATAAAATGGAGTAAATAAAGGCGTTCATGCCAGCAGATGGACGGACTTTGCACAAAATCAATATGCTCGTTTTCACTTTGTAAGCTGAGTAAAAAAACACTTTTCATGCGCAAGTTCGCACACAAGCTTCATTTGAGCATTTATTCGCAGCTGTCAAGCGCATGCACACACATAACCAAGCACACCCTCCTACATACACACACACACACACACACACACACACACACACACACACACACACACACACACACACACACACACACACACACACACACACACACACACACACACACACACACACACACACACACACACACAGCCGTGTGGTAAGCGGCCCATAGAATACTACCACAGCTAGTCATTGCT